TAGAACAAGTCTTCTCGGATAAGGACTACAAATCGTAGGCCCAGTGTATACAATGAATGGCTCGTGTGCACTATAAAGAGCACAGTACATTCTTCGAGACGAGTAGGGGGATACCTCGTTGTACTGGAACAGAAAGCCCCGTGGTGGACGACGAGAGTTGCTGGTACCGGGTTACCGGGAAGCACAGACACGAAGTGACCCTTAGGGGCGAATGAAGTCGTTGATCGAGTTCCTATTCCACACATCAAGCCCCCTCAGCATCTTATCTTAGTTGGATTTAGGGCTATATAAGAACTACACTATTATGATTTTTGCAAAAAGAAAAAAAAAAAACAGACTTGATGAGTGGTAGAGTAATTTGGAGAGGATCAGAGGCCTTCCACTGAAAAGTGTATATGTTATAGATGCTCGGAAATGCACTTTCATGCCTTGGTCAATGTGATGGGATAGGCATAAATAGATATTTAAAAGATCATGCATTTTTGGATGAAATCCTTTCAATTAATCTGGAATGCGGGTTTCAATTCTGACCATTTTCAATTTGTGAGACCAGTTTAAGATTTGTTTTCTTCTTAGGACAACATTATGCTAAATTATGCTAAATTTTGCCAAAAAAAAAACATAATTATGGCAAGTCTGATCACTATGTAAAGCCTTCGGAAAGACTGTCCCCGTCGGAAAGAGCTTCTCCCATCGGGGAGGTCAACACAAAACACTCATGTAATTTTTACAGATTAAGAGTGTCGAATTAAACAAGCCTTCTTTCTCCGTCGTGTAAATCCTTGCGCCACAACAGCTTCGGTCGCCAGTCGGTGACGAATCATGTCCGCCCTCTGTAAGTGCTTTAACAATTAGAACAGACATGCTTGATTTTAGCAAATGTGATTGACAAAGGTTTTGTATAAATTAAGTTTACGGATTCGTATTCCTTTCATCTGTATCCATTATGCCTTCGGATTGAACTTTGTACTGTCGTTAGAGAAGGTCTGGCGTGTTCCTTTCACTTACAATCTCGTACATCAAATGACTTCGCAAATTATTCTAACTTTGTTGTTTTTCATCTAAATTGTTTTTGTTTAATTTAATATTTGTTTAAAATTGTATTAATAATTTGAAATAAAAATCAAAATATTAATATTAACGTACCGTTATTGATTGTAATTTTCTCAACACGATATTCAAATAATATATAAGCAAATATTTACTAACTGTTGCAACTTACCTGAAATTTTATTTTGATCAGTGACTGAAAAACACAAGAAAACAGTAAACCCATGAACATTGAAAGTAACTATAATATGTATATAAACTCCTATACTAGAATAAAGACTTTGTTTATATATATATATATATATTCGTCAGCGTGTTTCACGCCATCGCGATAAGACACATACAATTTTTATTTAAAAAAAAACAAAAAAACTCTCACTGTTCAAATATTCTAATTATATGTATTATTTTCACAACACCGAAAAACGCGTCACAGACGGATTTTATATAAATCCTGATCCTTCGTGGTAAGCTGTGATTGTGAAACACCATAAATGCCTTTCCAATTAGTGTAATGTGTCTATTATAGTAACTAAATGTAATTATAACTTGTATTGTAAATGCTTTGAAACAAAAGTTCAAGAAATATTTACTTGAACAAATCATGTGAATGGGATTTCCGAAGTTGAGAGCCGTCGCTTAAACTGGTGGTAGCCACTGTTGTGTTCGCTAAATCGTGAAATTGTTTTAACCCCGGTTCAAATTCTATCACTACTCCGGAGGGCTGAAATGCAAGTTACGGTAATGCAAAGTCTTTCGATCGCATGAGACGTTTAAACGGTTGGTCTCATGTGCATTATGGCCCCCATTTGCATTTTGACTCATGAGCACGTTAGAGAACGCAGTACACTCCTTGGAAAAGCCTAGGGGATTGTCTGCCGTTGTAGTGCACAATCACCACCAGAAGGACCCCCCCACTCAAAACATAGTCTTCTTCAGACTTTCGTGTGGTTATCCTTGGTATTTACACATTCATCCATCCATCCATTTTTATAAACTTGTTTCATTTGTTTTTATTTCTTTCATTTGCATTCAATATCCTCTGTTTTGATAGGACCCAAAGTTTGGGACTGATTATGTCGTCCCTGGTCTATTCGTCTTAATGTGACATCTCATATTTATGATAATTTCTCTTAACATTATTTTTGGTTGTCAATCCCTATTTTGGAGTCAACTGAAACTGTACACTGTATAGAAATTGTATGGAAAACTGAACACAATCGAAAATTAAATAACTTAAAAACACAATACTATATGTGATTAACCGATGATAAATACTATTTTCAAGCCCAAGGCAAATAGTTTACGACTGCTATAACTAAGCCGAACTTGTAATGAGTCTACGATAAAATATAAAATATAAGAATGAAACCCGTTGTTTATATTATAATTTACATTTTCAATGTAGATACAGAAATAGACACTGTAGTTATTTCGCAGTCAATGCAATCCCTGGATTATATTATAGATTTGTCAGATAATAACTAAGTAAATAAGGAAATAATAATTGTATCCGTTTGTTGTTTTTCGATGTTTTATATTCTATTGGCCTTTTACTAATTCCTTGTCCTTTATGTATTTGCACCAACAAATATTAATTCCATTATTCACATGATTATGATAATAATGCTATCTTGTACCTTGTAGTTCCTAAAAGTTACGTAATCGTAATTGTAAGTGACTAACATTTAAAATAAAGGTTTTTTTTATAATAGACAATGATTTATAGACAATGATTTATAAAGAAATGTTAAAATTTTGAAAATTATTTATAACACTTTGGAAACTAACAACACAATGTATTTTGCAGACATAATTAGCGTTACAGATGGACTTAAAGGTGAACTATACGATACGTTACGTAAAAAATGTGGATAATTAATTTTGCATTACGTGTAGAAAAAAAAATCTCTGGCAGGTAATAAAACGACGATCGCGAAAATTGTCACGGAATTCTAAATGATACTTTTTTCTTCAAATTTTCAAAAGCGAGGCATAGCTTGTAACAACTGATATTACCTCAATAGATGGGTGGTTATCTGATTGACAGTGTTAAAAAGAATTCGTAGGCATAATTTGTTACAAGCTGGCAACAAAGTGAATCCTGACCACTAGTTCTTGGCTCACACGGAATGGGCTGTTGCCACGCAAACGTTTTTATTTAAGTGCCAGATTTTACCGAAAAATAGAACAATTTTACACTTTATTACCCAAAAACACTATCTGCTAGTCCTTTACTGGAATATTCAACATGAATATATTTGACAACTTGAATATATTTAACAACATACGAAAGCAATTACAATTATGTATTAAATGATGTGTATAATGATATATTGTTATTTTTTACCCAAATTTACCAAAAAAATAAAATAAAACCTATACTTACCACATACAAAATAAAACATCGATCAAAATTTCAGACAATATTTATTTTGTATTTTCAAGTTATATTATGTCAAAGGTTATCTTCCGCAAAAAATGTGAAATTTTATACTTGTTTACACAAAAATGGTATTTTGATGCTAGTACGTTACTAAAGATTCAATTTTATTATAATTGGTATCATACAATTGCTATTAAAATTATATGTCAAATGATGTGTTTGATAACACAATAATATATTAATGTTGTTATCTAAAAAGGACCAAAAGACATATTTTTCGACTTTTTGGCTAAATTAATAAATACATGTCTTATTTATTAGAAATATATATTACCAAACACAAAATTAATTAAATTAAATTAAATTAAAACTTTGTATCTGATACTTTCTAAAAAAACTGAATTCTCATCATCAGGCCTTGTCGCACTGAATTCTGGATTTTAGTGCCAAATTTGACTAAAAAAATTACAAAAATTTTCTGTAATTTTCTGTAAGTACTAAAAATCAGTCTTAAGATGATTTATTTTTAGCAATGTTGGCAGCTCGGGCCAGATCAAAGCCTTTAACGGGCAGCAGTTGGTTCCCAGGCCAGGTGGCTGAATACCGGGAATTTTAGGGATGGATGCTAATTTCTTGGAAAATACTACATTACGAAATCAATGAGTATTTCAGTATTCAATCTTAGAACAAATCAATTAGAAATAAGTATATAAGAATTTAAGAGTGTCTATTCCCCAAGTTATAATGAACAGGGTATCACTAACTTTGTTAGTTAGAATTTGTGCACCTTTCTCGACCATCAGTTACATTCTACACTATACCAATTTAAGTTACACTAAAAACTGGTTTGTGAACTTTTAATTGATTTGAGTTGATTTTTTAATCACTTGTATTGTCCGGATTAATCGATTCAACGCCTTAGATATCCCGAATATATGGAACTGATGGTGTAGAATCAAGAGCTTCTATTAATTGAAATATGGGTTTAAAATGTATTAACTTGGTAGAAACCTGTTTCTTTTTTAAATTTGAGATAAAGTTATATACAAGGTCAAAAACAACTAGTTGAGTTGAGGAGCAGGACTGTAAGTTTATAGCTGCAGAAATAGAGGTGTGACAAAAGTAAGAAAAAAAAATCAAAATTATTCTAATATCAACAAATTTGGGAGAGCAATCATAATTCGGTGAGTTTAGTATTAATAACTTGTTTTTTCCAGATTTATCGAGTCAACACCTTCGATATCCCGAATACGTGAAAATGGTGGTCTACTGGTATCATTATCCATTGATTTTAATTAATAAAAAAGCTATACTTTTTCACAATATATTTAACTATAATATAGTCCTCATATATACATTCTATAATGTAAGGTTTCCCTTATCAAAATAAACTAAATAAATGAAAATAAAATATGTATACAATATTTTTATATAACTAAGCTGCAAGTTATTTATAACTAACGGTAAATACTGTTAGTGTATTTCTCAATAAATAATGATATATTTACAGTAGCATAACATAACATAAACTGTAGGACTATATGCGATAAAACATAAATAAAAGCTACGTACTGTTACCCGTACAGATGACACCTGCATCTTTTTTCCAGGAACAGTCGTGCACTCCTATTCCACTGTTTGCGCAATCAGTAAGACTTGATTCAAAACCGCTGCACTCAACTTCGTCCAGGAGAATATTGCCCGACCCTTGTCCAAACGTGGCTGACGAGACGGCCGCTATTGCACTACCTAGGCCTAGTGCTCTGCATACAACACGAGCGTCTCTTATATCCCAGGCATCATAACATACCGTACCTGATCGTCCATCAACGGTTACTTCAACTCGCCCTTCGTTGCTGTTACCTCCACCGACAAGTCTTAGGCCTACTTCTGAGTTAGATTTAGAATCTGTAAAAAGGATAACAATAATAATGACATTAAAATCAATAAAATTATGTTTTTTATTCTTCACAGCAATTTGACCTCTGAAAGGTCATTGTTTGTCAAAAAACGAGAGTGCCTAAGACGACTGAAAAGCGGAGTTTCCTTCTTTTGTTCTGCCGGGTAAAATCAATTACTTTAGGCGAGGTTTGTAGACTAACCTACTCGTACCAACGTCCGCATGTCGCGCTAGTCTTATCCTACTCTAGGCCTAGACCAGGGAGTTGTTATAACAACTCCCTGCCTAGTCTAGCTAGGATGGTATAGGCCTAGCCTTGAAGACGAAGGTCCCAATGAAAAACAACGTCGCTCTTTGATAGCTAACATTGTCTATTTAACATCACAATAATTCATTACTAGACCTATTTATAGTTGTTTTTTTAATTGTACTCCACAAATCTCAGCCGATACCTCGCACAACTGTACAAAGTACACCCCCCCCCCCACAAGTCAGTCAAGCCGAAAATTTGGAGTTAAAGAGAGGAAAAATTGTACCCATGAGTTCAGTGGCGATCCAGCAGTGGAATGAAAGGATAGCTCGATTATTTCCCACCATGGGAAATATGGGGCTAAGGTGGGCGTGGCGGCGAGAACCTCATATTGTGCCCCACCCCCCATCAGAAAATCTCTGGATCCGCCCCAGGGGACTTGGACATGGCGCTTAGAGACCTTTGTTTATTTGCACCTTATAAATCGACCTATTATTATTATCATTATTATTAATCATAAATACAGTATATATCAGATATTCGCACGATGTGCATTAGAAACCGCTGTATCGAAACCGTACGATTCCGTGGAGTAGCCTGTACGCGATTTTTTTTCCGTACGAAACATGTGCATGAAACTTCACTCGGGCCATCTCGGTTTGACTCGAGTGAGTACGATACGAGGAACTTTTTTCTTTTGACCTCCTGAATTCTGCAATGAGATTTTCGGGTCGATTCAGCCGAGACGGCCCGAGTGGGATTTCATGTAAATATTTCTTACGGAAAAAAAAAATCGCAGCCTGTACACTAACAACGGTTTGTTTGTACTATATTTGTCTTCTCCAGTAAACGTCGCAATTAGGGCCCTAGCTGGATGGTGTTATTATTATCAAAATAATTATAACTCCATGGCTGGTATCGATAATACTAACTGGTGTTTATTTCATGATTAGTCTATATATTGATGTTAGCTTTCGAATAAAAGTATTATTGTCTGGAAATCCTGGCATACTTAGTTGAGGGTCTTAATTTGCGGGGTCTGATATTTCGAGTGGGTCTGATATCTCGTGGTCTTAGGTCTTAGCTTTCGTGGTCTGAGCTTTCGGGACACCCTTTCTAGACAATACCTTTATTCGAAAGCTAACGTCAATATAAAGAACTGACTAATAATAAAAATAAACACCATTAAGTATCATCGACCAGCTAAGGCCCCTATTTGCGACGTTTACTGGAGAAAATACAGTATAAAACAAACCGGCTATTCGCACTCCACGGAACCGTACGGTACGGTTTCGGTACGTTTTCGATAGCGGTTTCTAATGCACATCTATCGTGCGAATACTGTATCCGATACTATGGTTCTCGATCGTTCTCACTCTTTATATTTTAGGATAGTTTGTTCTTCTTTTTACATTCACCTTACCTTTCTTTTGCTTTTTTTTTTGTTTTATATTCGGTTTCAAAATAGTATATAATAAAAAAGATAAAATTACTAAAAGCATAGAACATGAAACCAGGACCAGTGGCGGATCCAGCGAAAGGGGTGGGGGAATGAGGGCCCGCCCCCACCCCCAAATTCAGTAAAACCGAAAATTTTGAGTTAAAGAGAGGAAAAATTGTACCCATGAGTTCAGTGGCGATCCAGCAGTGGAATGAAAGGACAGCTCGATTATTTTCCACTTTACACCAACCATGGTGGGGCTAAGGTTGGCGTGGCGGCGAGAACCTCATATTATTCCCGTAGCACCCCCCCCCCCCCTCCCTTTTCAGAAAATCTCTGGATCCGCCCCAGAGGACTTGGACATGGCGCTTAGAGACCTTGTTTATTTGCACCTTATAAATCGACCTATTATTATTATTATCATCATTATTATTATTATTATTATTATTATTGTTATTGTTATTGTTATTGTTATTGTTATTGTTATTGTTATTATTATTGTTTATTATTATTATCGAGAAACGATCGAGAATCATAATGCAGTATATATCAGATATTCGCACGATGTGCATTAGAAACCGCTATCGAAACCGTACGGTTCCGTGGAGTAGCCTAACAACGGTTTGCAATACTTTTTTGTTTTCTCCAGTACGCAAATAGGGGCCTAGCTGGTACACGGGGTTATTATTATCAAAATAATTATAACTCCATGGCTGGTATCGATAATACTTACTGGTGTTTATTTCATGATTAGTCAGTTCTATGTATTGATGTTAGATTTCGAATAAAGGTATTATTGTCTGGAAATCCTGGCATACTTAGTTGAGGGTCTTAAGTTGCGGTGTCTGATATTTCGTGTGGGTCTGATATCTCGTGGTTTTAGGTCTTAGCTTTCGTGGTCTGAGCTTTCGGGACACTTGCGAAAGGGGTGATCGCTGCTTGCGGAATATGAAAGCCGCATGGCATAGTTAGGGCATGGAGCAGTTAGTTTAGAAACTACGGTAAGAGTAGGCCAAAATATCTTGGTAGTCGGTTGAGACAGTGTAACTAGAGTGAAAACAATGGACTATCACTGTAATTATAATATCTCTATGCCTAGACACTGTTTACATACAGCATGGTCTTTGAAAGTATAATAAGCAGCGTTGAATCTCAGTTATGGTCGGTTATTTATGGTAGTTTATAGTATAGCATACGAATTAACTGCTATAGTATTACAGATTCTGAACGATAAACGTTTACACACCGGTATTATTTCCCACAAACATGTCGTTCATATTCAATATGAATAGGCATAGATTTATATAGCAATCAGATTATTATAAACATTTTACCAAATCCGACGATTTATTATACTATACACATAATATGGTACTGTTTAGGTTTAGGCTGTCTACCCAATTAAATATTGAATAGCTTCATATTTAAAACGATCAAAATCAGATGAAAATAAAATATAGCTCTCTCTGAGTTATAGGCGGTTCTACAAAAATCCTTAAATGTTAGCAGCCAATAAATTATGCAAAAGAATACAGTCACTGTCTGTTAATTGGCATGCAGGGACATTTTTTATAAAATAAATGGGAACAAAACTTTTAATTGTAAAATAATACGTTAATGACTGTGTCCGAAGTATTCGTAAAATTGTCTCCAAGCATTTCAAAACTTGTATATCCTTCAGAAGCAGTACTACTATAGCATACAATTGCTACTACACACGTCATATGTAGGCCTATATATATAACTGTAGGCTAACTCAAGGGTCAAATAACTGTACGTGCCAGATTCAATATCATGTTTTTTTTTAATACTTTTAAATACCAAGCTGTACATAAACTGTGTTACACTAATACAATTTTTACAATGTCTTGCCTACCAAGGCCGAGTATGTAAGATATTTTAGCCTACTCCATAGCGTTCATCTACGCAAGCACTGCAGTTAATTAGATACACCACTGAGTCTGTTTCGCGAGGTGGGGGGGGGGGAATGTCTGTATGCATTTTCATGTGTATCACTTCACCTAACTGACCTGAAATAACACACTCTATAATTTCTGCCTTAACTGTATGGGAAAGAAATTATGAGGCCCGCTATCTTGTCATCATTTAGGTCCCGGGTATTCGATCATTATGAGGTGGTGGCCACATCAAAGGCTGTTGTCAAATATGATGAAATGCAGTAGCATGCGGAACTGTGGGGATATACAAATAACTCACACCTTATGTACTCCTCACTTCTAACATCGGATATACAAGAAGAAGAAACGCATTGGCATATTTAGGACGGACGCGGGTGCCTGCACGTGTACCCCTCAAGTAAAGAATTTCATTGTGTTAAACATTTTTAAATAGGAATCACTTTGCTAGCAAATAGCTGAAGAGCAAAAACCTTTGACTTAATATACACCACAGGGTTGGCGGAATCAGTACGGCAGGTAATGCGGCCGCCGTACCAATATTTTGACAATTATCAAAATTTAGTTTAAAGTCACTTGTAGGTACTGTTATAAAATTATTATGAGTATTATTATTATATTTATTTGTTATTTGTTAATAACTATGAAGGCTCAGAAACAATGGAACTAAATTTAGCCCTTCAAAGTAGATTGCGGACTGTCGAGTACCTTTGCAAAGCTTGTACAGACTAGAAATATAATACAAAGAAAAACAAAGAAAGCAAGGTACCTGACTCTGAACAGGTAACTTCTGACAAGAATACCATGGATAATATTATTAAAGAATATTGGTGGTTTAACCTTGGTAAATTAAATTGGGAACCCCACGCTTTTTGCGATAGTAATGTTATTAACAAACATGTTAGAGTGATATTAGAGGTAATAACATAGGCCTATCCGTAATTGATTATGACGAAAAATCACCCAATATTCTAGATGACATCCATATCTCATTCGATGACGTTAAAGATGCTATATCAGAGGCAAAAAACAATAAATCGCCTGGCATTGGCTGCATCACGAATGAGCTTATCAAGAATTGTGGTGATAGGTCATTAACATTTATTTTAAATAAATGTATTGATTTCCAATGCATCCCTTATGCAGCGGCGTAGCTAGGTGAGAACGGGCCCCAACCGGGCCCTTTGATATGAAGCGTCAACCGAGAGCCGTGGCCTGAGTTGTGGCTGTTGGTGTGTGGTTGTAGCCGTAAATCTTCCCTGTGGGGGAAGGGAATCCCTGAAAAATCCAACGTTTCAAATTTTCAGAAGCCGTATTTTGAATCTAACGAATGCAAATTGTAATATAGGTCTGATTCACGTTTTCAGAACATTCATCTTTTTACTCCCTATCCCTAATGGC